CATTAAACCCTAACGGCCGATGCCGCTGGACAGCGCATCTTTCTTCCGTAATTAACCACCTGTAACTCTCCACCTTTTCCAGAGCCACTTTATCCACGTAGTAAAATATATCCTCGCTAGTTCGGGTGATGGGGGTAGGGCGAGCACGGCATATTTAACACTATACAGCAAGAGCAATGACACCTCCGATGATAATATAATGTCGAGTAAATCAAGTTTGAAAGGAGCGAGCATTTTTCGCAAAATAATCTAACAACCACTACAATAGTTGCTAGGGTGACTTCGAAGTTGAGTCATTTATTTTAACAGTGAGTAGATCTGATCAAAAGAAATGTTTTTTTCCTTTACCATTTTTCTGGTAAAATTAAAGTAACAGAGTTATAACCCTTATAAGTTTGAGTACCGCCCTGTCTCAATAATAATATTATGTGCTCGTGTTTGGCGACAACGGATATAATCCGCCTTATCGGTTCATCGCATCGGAAACAAAAAAGCGAAATAATTTGGAACGATGTTTTTACAATTATTTCATTCAGTTGTATACAGTCAGTGTCAGTCGGTAGTGTCTGTTGCGTGGTTCAAACGAAATAAAAAATGGCACATGTTTATGCGGATCGGTTTCCCAATCGAGTGCAACCAACCCCTCGTGCCTTTGTTAATGTAGTACAACGGGTTCGTGAATCATTTGACTTAAGACCTCACATATGGACAGTGCTCCAAGACCTCACGATCAAATACAGGTTCGCACTGAAATACTTGTCGGGAGGATACTTTATAAAACAAGGTAAAATTTTTTTTATTTTTTTTTTTATTTTTACACACATATTTTGGTTTATCTTCCTTCTACAATCATTATCTGAAAATTAATGACTCAACTTCAAAGTATAATTACAGACAATTGGATGTTTCTGCTATCCATCTCTATCATCATCTTTGCTTTTTCTTATGAAGTCCATATTAAAATTTTGCACAAATACAAATTTTCATTATGCGTTTATTTATGTAACGACAAACTTCACACATTTAATTAAATTGATATTATCTTAGCGGTATTTAAATGTAGAAGAAGTGACAATGACAATTTATTCAAAATAAACATAATTTTGCAATAAATCTGTTATACGTAACAAATGACTGTCTGATAATTTAATATCATGATTTTTACACCAACTTAAATCATACAAATTCTGAGACTGAGAAATAAATAATTAGTTTTGTATCCATTTTATGAATAGATTAAAGTATGTACATTTTTCTTTTATGCAGTTCATAGAGTACGTTTTTAAGTTGAATTTAATGATTTTTATAAATATTTGTAGATGAGAATACGTTGTTTTTAACCTCTATTTGTCCATATTTCACAATATTTGACTTTTTTGCAAAACATGCTTTAGTTGAAATTTATTTAGTTTTAATAATCTTTTTAATTTCTACTAAAGTATGTTGAGTCCATTAAAAACAAAACTGTTAACGTAAGCCCAACTTAGCATTACCTAATTAATATATTCTACCAAAATAAATAATTTTTCGGAATTTTCAACGAGATTACGGAAATTATAAAAATTTTACATACAAATATTCAGTGAAAAATTCTTTAAATTCTTTTCCTGCAAAATCAGCTTTTTGTACAGGATAGTCTGGCTCTGGGGTACTTGAAAAAGTACGATTTTCTCCCAGTAACATATACAACAAGGTCTCCAATCTCTCCGCAAAATCAATCAAACCTAAACCAAACCTAATCCGCTCCTATATCTCGATCTCAAAAGTGAGAAGGCACAACAAAACCATTAGTTACCAATCCAAAAAAGAGCAAAATGGCTCACTTATGCAGCATTCTCGAGCCTGCCATCATAATTTATGGTGCGCGTCTTCAAAATGCTACCGAGGCTTCGCGACTATATACAGGCAAAGAGGTGAAAACGGTCACCTTCCAGTAGAGCCGTTTCTTTAAGGCTTTACAGATATCACGATGGAAAATCGCGAAAAAACTTTGAATTTCAGAGGATCGTATTGCTGTGCAGTATTAGATACATATGCTGATAGGGGGTAGATTCCTGTCCGTTCTCCATACTTGACCGTATTTCCAGCTGCGACAGAATTTAAGACAGCTGCAAAAGTGGCCCTGTTAACCTTTGACACGAAACAAAGCAGCCTTACGAGGACAGAGGGTGAATACTCTAGAAAAGTGGAACGCTGACGGATAGAATATGTCGTAGCTGGGGTTTTTTCTGGTCATGCGGATATACAAGGTGTCTAAACAGCACGATAATTTGTGAATTAATAATGGTAGAACATGATCTTCGAGGTCATTTGAAGGTCATGTCGATTTTTTAAATAGAATTATATATTTGTGATCCCCTAAATAAAAATGGCGGAAAGTTTTACGTGTAAATATGTTCTTTATCATTCTTAAATGTTATCCTTAGGAGGTCATGGTCAAGGTCAAACCCAGGTGAGGAGATATAACTTTAAAAACAGTGAAGGTATAGGGAAACTACCAAGACTTTCCTTTCAAGATTTTCCACAGATATCCAATGGTGACATTGAATCTGACCTTAACCATGGAACAAACTTGAAGGAACAATTTAGTCAGTTTACCTGGGGATTAAACGGTTATCTGAATTATTAATAAATTAAGATAAACTTGTTGACCTTGATGGTCAAGTCCAAGGTCAAGTTCCAAAACGGTCAAGTAAATATTTTAACACTAAATTTTCCCTTTTGTCCATTACCGAGGTCAAACGTATAGGGATTCGTTAAAAGAGTTGGGCTTTAAATGACTTTGAAGATCATTGCCAGGGTCAGATCCAAGGTCATTATTATATATCCAGGATAAAATCATGAAAATAATGTTTCCGTAGTTTCCCTAAGCGATTACTGGCTTTCAAGTTATATCATCGTACCTGGGTTTAACCTTTACCATGACCTCCTAAGGTCAATTTGAGAATGATCAATACCGTTCTTGAACGTGAAATGTTCCACTCTTTTCATTTACGGTGTCAAAAATGGGGGTTCCATTTTAAAAAACTGACTTGACTTTCAAATGTCCTTGAACGTCACTGTCAAGGTTAAATCCAAGGTCAACATTGGATATCTGGGGAAAAACGCATGTGACGTTCCGGAACATTTCGGACACTCTGTATAGGTACCCCACAGAATGCGTCTTGTAATATATTCTCACGTTTCGGCCTACGCCTCTGAGGAAACAAAGTAACGTGGCTTAGATATTCTGAAGTTTTCCTTCGATCAGAATGCGCGGATAGGTTTCTTTGCCATTCTACTTCGTAGAGTTTAGATATTTTTTTCGCGCTGAGAGGCAGACGTACGTATCTTGTCCTTGTTTTGTTTTTCCGTCGATATTGGTTTCTTATGTAAGGCTATTTCTTGCGTCATAGAAATATCTGTGTTCTATCAGAATTAACATTTATCTTTGTAGGAATATACCTGAGTTGTAATTTGATATATGTGCGTGTACAAAAAATATAATTTAATATATTTTTATGACACAACAAAAGCCTTTATGATTGTCCCTCTCTACATTATGCTATAAATCACGTAAGTTTCCAGTATGGTTTACTAGAGATAATAGAAATTTGAAGCAAAATAACAGGCTACCTACTATAATGACAAATCCGATGCACAATTAAGATTCAGATTATTACCGCTTATTTAATTTTAATGCAAAAAAGTATGTTAAGGATTCGTGGTTCAACGTATATAATTCACTTCAAGAAAATCTTACACGAGCATTTTCTGTTATTTTTAATCTGAACAACTACTCCCGCTGCTCCAGTCATAGTTCAGAAGTTCCCCAAGGATCTAACTTGGGACCTTTATTGCTTCAAATCATTATTAATGATTTAAAAATGGATGATAGTATCGCAACTTCAGAATACTGCCATTTCCTTCAAAATAATTTGGAAATTATCAATTCATGTGTCAAAGTGCAAAGTGATAACATATTCTAGGAAAAAAAATGTTAAGCTTTATTAATCAGGTACGGAGACGTTACTGTGTTAGAAACTGGTCAGGTTTCTCGAATTTTAAAACAATCACGCTTCTATATCTAACATACGTCAGAAGCAAGATTGGAACCTATTCAACCAAGAGCTGTAATATATTTTCTCAAATTAATGCAATCCATTAAGTGGCTTCGACCACAAAACTTTTGATATCAATGTTTTCCTAGTTTAGGAACGATGCCAAACTTTTATACAAGACTCAGCGATCTGTAATCAATTAATCAATGTAGTCTTGGAGTTTGTGCAAAAATCCCGCCTGCAGTAACACGATCTCGTGGGATGAAAATCTTCCCGTGAACTCCCTAATCAAACAGGAAATGAAGAGAAGAGGAGTATCGCAAAGGGATTCTTTCCTTTAATTCATTTTATCCTCTCTCCTTGGCAGTTTCTTATAATCCCACGTCTCGTTTTCCCGTAATTTTCTGATATCAACGGAATTACTGTTTGCGATGATAAATCATATTAAATCTCCGAGAAATTAAGATGCTCCAGGTAGATAGTATCTCAATTGGCATCCAACCTAACCTCAAGAGACATATACATAAAATATCGTCGAGAAATGACAAAAATTCGACTGATAATAAAACGACGAACAATAAAAAAAATAACAAAATGAATTAGATAAGAAAATCACACATTAAAAATTCCTCAACAGGGTAAAAAGCTTTTTCCAATAAAATTTTCTTTGTTCAATGTTCAGTGGTTGTGATTTTAAAGCATTGCAAAGTCTGTTGAGCAGCTTAACAACCATACGAGGTCTGTAAATCAAGTAAAGAGACTGGCAACGTAGCGTTCGATATGGCAACACTGGAGCGCCGGGTTTGGAGGGGGGCAGGGGAACATGTGACATGTGATCCACCTTCAGTACAAGTTTGGACGCGCTCGAGTCATTTGGTTGTACGTAGCGATTTTTTTCTATCGCGTTCTAAAAATATGGCACTGATGTCGCATAACGTACAGCAAATATATGGCACTTACCCTCACACACGTGTAGCGCCCTCTGTCTTAATTTGAGCTCACTAACGTTCCTAGTATTTGGAGTAAGCAGCGTAGTCTCCAATTCTTCTACAGTGATTCCAAGTTCTTCGGCTACTTCTTCTTTGCTATAAGGTTTTTCGTGCAAGGTGGATTCAACCATAGCAATCATCTCAGGCAGCGTTAAGCCGTATGCTTTTTGAACCTTGGATAAATTTTTGATTTCTCGCCATGGTAGCTTCCCCTTTCTTTTTGCAATGAGCTGTAAAAAATAATTAACGAATATTTTCAACTGAACTGTATTGAGGGGTTGGAATATATTGTGACAAATAATTCTGAAGGCGCCATCTGTTGGGCGAGTCTCCTACTCGCCAGAGCTTAATGGCCGATATCTGCTTTTCGCGAACCACGACCGCACGAGCCGCTTGGCGGCGTCAGTGAGGACCGTGGCAGTGACTCACCTTCTAGATCGACGCGAAGTGACCTCCAATATTCTAGATGCCGCTTTGTGGCTCACCAGACCTTTCTCGAAGCAGCAATTGGGAGTATATATAACTCGACGGCCGGGAAAGGGAAGCAGATTACGGTAGAGTAGCAGAGCGGAGTGGAGTATAGTCCAGTCAACGGCGCGACATAAGAATTAGTATATAGTAATCCACACCCAAAAGAACCCAGAAAAACGTTACAATATGAACAGGGTGTCATTCACAATTTTCTCGAGTAGGAAGTAGACAGAAAAGATAGATGAAAAGTCTTGATTTATTCGCCTTGTCTATTTGTCTACTCTTGGTATAACTACTCTTTGCTAGGAGTATACCAGTCCCAGAAGAGAAAGGCGAAGTCATAATAGTTATCAGAACAATATAAAAAATTTAAATCGTGTACTTTTCAAATTATAAGCTTTAAATACATGACTCGGATTTTTCTGATAAGTATCCGTGTAATTCTGCGATATGGAAACAATCTCGTTACCCCATTAATACCCACTCCTACTTCTCCAACATCATTTGGTCGTCTCAAGAATACTGAATCGGTTGCGAGAATCGAGAACGCAGTTAAACGGCGATGCTAAAACCGAAGTACGTCCATTTGCAAACATCTCGAAGAGAGTTTGATATTGAACAATAACAGAACGATGGCCCTTTATTTTTAGATAACGGCATCGTCGGCGAATCGTTCACGTGCTATAAAGTTTCACATTCCATCTAGCACGGACATAAATGTACGGCAGTTCGTCGTTTCTAGCAAAGTTGCTGGACAGATCAGGATCCGGAATACAATTGCACGAATTTCTTAGAAATAAAACAATAAACGGCATACGTAAGATATAAGAGAAAGTAGGTTGAGTCTGTAATTGTGTATAACAGAAAAAAATTGAGTCAAGTAGGGTGACTCCATCCAGCAGGGACATAAATGTAAGGGAGTTCCTCGCTTTGCAGATCAGGATTCGGAATACAGATGCACGTTTTTATTGAAAATAAAACAACTAACAGCATATGTAAGATATGAAAGAAAGTAGCGTCAAGTAGGTCGACTCTTTACTTCCCATCCAACGGAGTAATCAGTTTATAAAGGATTATTAATAAGAAAGAAAGTTATCAACCAACATGTATAACTCAAAAAGTGGAGAAAAGTAGGTTGATTCCATCTACCAAGGCATAAATGTATAGGAGTTCCTCGTTTCTAAGAGTCTTGCTGGGAACATCAGGATTCGCAACACGGATGGACGTTTTTATTGAAAATAAAACAATTAAAATATCTTTAATTCTACATACCAGTAATTTTGCGTGAAAGTTTCATCAAAATACGAGGGGTCTAAGATTGATCGTACCTAAGTGAACCTGAGTGAACTTATCACGATTCAATGTCCCCTTTTGAAACGATTTGACACATTCTGTTTTTGAAAGCTCCAACGAAGGCGTCGGAAATATAGTCAATCTGCTCGACGCCATTTTTTTAAATGACATGACAGCTGCAAATTCCTGCAATCTTTCGCACCATTTCAGTCAGTGATTTCGTCCATTTTACCACGGAATATGTGCTCAGCATTTCGGGATGTATTTTACGCTTAACAGCTCTGTATATTACCGAGAGGAATGAGGCGAACGTAATAAAAAAATATGAGAATTTCGGCTCTGTTTATGAAAACAGCGCTGCTGCTTCTGGTGCTGCAGAAACTGCTAGAATGCGCGTATTTCTCGACGCGATACAGAATAATATTGGCTGAAATATTACCCTTTTATGACATTACTATACCGAGTGTTTCAAATTCGACCCTGACTGTTGGCATATTCGATCGAGGCAAAGCTGCCTATTTAGGTAACTAGCAAGATGCCGCTTAAAAACTTTCGAGATTCAAAGCACTTTGGGAGAGAGACAAATCGTTTTAATTTCTTCCTGACTTTATGTGTGGTGGAATTTCAAAATAAATTCCACACTAACATTTTCACATTTTCTCCTCTACAAGTTGTCATAATTAGAATTTCAATATGACGTTTCGTCTCTTGTGCCATCCCGGATTTTTACGAAGATGAATAGAGTTTTTAATCCTGATTTCAAATATGTATATTATGTCATACATTGATATTTCCGAACCTTAGGATCGTATCGTCGGTCGTTCCTGCAATTATAAGACGCCTGTATGACCTTATTTTTTATAATTTCTTCCTCCCCTTTATAAGGCAGGTGTATGGGTCCTACATCCTCCTTGGTCACTTCTAGCTTTTTACCTCTATTGTTCCGTGTCAACCGTTTTGAGGTTAGGTTATATTTTTTTAGCTTCAAGAAATTTTACACTGATGTATCAAGTGCAGAAGCATATTTTCTAATAGTACATATACAGGGTGACTTCGAAGTTGAGTCATTTATTTTAACAGTGAGTAGATCTGATCAAAAGAAATGTTTTTTTCCTTTACCATTTTTCTGGTAAAATTAAAGTAACAAAGTTATAGCCCTTTGGAAGTTTGAGTACCGCCCTGTCTCAATAATAATATTATGTGCTCGTGTTTGGCAACAACGGATATAATCCGCCTTATCGGTTCATCGCATCGGAAACAAAACAGCGAAAGAATTTGGAACGATGTTTTTACAATTATTTTATTCAGTTGTAACAGTCAGTGTCAGTCGGTAACGCGTGAGTGAATAGTGGTGTCTGTTGCGTGGCTCAAACGAAATCAAAAATGGCACATGTCAAAGTTGATAGAAAACTTTTGCGGTACGCCAAAAAATTTACTTGACAGGCATTATCAGATTAATACCGTTTTCAAGACGTTCCATTTTTTCCGCAATAGCGAATACAAAAAGAGCATATCTGATATGCACGCCATGTCATGATATCAGTTGACATTTCCATTATTCTGTATGGTTTGCATACACAAGGCGCATATACAAAAAATAAATTGAATTATCTGTCTTTTAAGGAGAAATCTACGATGCACGAAATATATCTAATAGGTGGGTAGAATTAGCAAGATTGGGAGCGTACAAATAAATTAACAACTTCTAAAAAATTATATACCGTCCCCACCTAAAAATTAAATCCATCTTAGAACTTTTTTCAATAATAATCAGGATACTTTTTTTCGTTTTTCGTCTTTTTCTTCGCCGCCACTGATCAGATTTTCAAAAACTATAAGGCATTTTCATCCTTGGCATAGTAGTAACCTTATGCGAGAATTTCATCAAAATCCGAGCGGTACTTCTCAAGTTATAGGCGGTTATAGGATTCGGTTATTTTCATACTTTGTTAAAAGATTCCATCGCCGAAATATGAAAATAACCGAATTCTTTAACCGCCTATAACTTGAGAAGTATCGCTCGGATTTCGATGAAATTTCTACACAATGTTGCTACTATATCAAGAACGAAAAAGTCTTGTAGTGTTTGAAAATCGGGCCAGTGGCGGCGAAGAAAAAGACGAAAAACGAAAAAAATAAAAAGCATCCTGATTATTTTTGAAAAAATGTTTAGCTGGAACTAATGTAGTTTTGATGCGCTTACTTCCGATGACGCCTGTACTAACATGATCTTAGAAAGCTAATTTCTTCAACTGTGAATACCTGAATGTACCGCCAGCTTACGAATGGCCCAACCGCAACTAACTGCCTTGTTTCTATGCAAATGTTCCCGAACGAAAATCAAATAGCAATTCCGGGACGATCTATAATTATAATTCTAGGAAATACGAGGTACTCTAGAATAGAGCGGGCTCTACGATATCATTATTGACGTACCATTAGGCAGATTATTAATTAATGCGTATTCTAAGAGCAAGGTCGTAATAAGGGGCGCTAATGGAGTTTGTAGAATGGCGGCGATCAGTTGTAAATACGATTGTTAGTGATGCTGATAGCTTGAAAGGCTTTTGGGGGAGTCGATTAGCGAAGTTGTTTCAACTGATTAAGCAAGGAAGTACCGTCAAATTTAATCTCATACGGATTTCAAGATGCTCTCATAAAACTATCATTAACTATCATTAACATAGTGATGCTTTTCAGAGATTCCTGCTCATTATAAATAAATAAATAAAAGCGAATTTCGTTCATCTGATGACAGTTACTCAGCAAAGTTTCGGCCATTTTTCGAGTATTGAGTTGTCATTAAATATTTGTTTTTGAAGGGCAATACGCGTACCGAAATCAAAGATGAGTTGGATTCTGTGTATGGGGACTCTGCACCATCATTTACCGCAGTGAAATTTTGGGCTGCAGAATTTAAACGAGGCCGTAAGAGCTTGGGAGACGATGAACTGCAACTACCGATGAAAATATCGCCGGCAGAATTGTGTACAGTTACAAGGAGATTATGTTGAACAATAAAAAAAACAGAAAAAATGTCTTGTATCGTTGCTAGGTCGGAAACTTTTCAGATCACCCTCGTATATCGTTGCTCAGACCTCGAATTGTTGGCAATCAGTTGTGAATCGGCCAGAAGGCCTCCATGTATGCAAATAAAGTGATAACGCAGTCTTCCTACCCAATAAACTGAGTCAGCTAGCTCAGAAACAAGTTCAACTCCAGATAAGCGGTAAAGCGTGTATTTTTATAAAACTCAATAAAGCCATTTACAACAAGGATCCACGGCTTCAAGTGATGCTACAATGCTACCTATATCGACCGATAGAAAACTCACCTTTGTAGCTAACCGGCATTCCACTACTCGTCGGTTAAAATCGGACGTGGCGGCTTTATTCATGCTAGCCAAGCTATGCGCTATCACGAAAACTGCACCGGTTGGTAGCTTTACGTCAGAGGAGCGAAGAGGTGCGAACTCGATTAGCTTCGCACCACCTGGAAACAAAGAAAAGAATTTCAGAACGATTTTTGTACATTTTGCGTTTCGAAAGCCGGATAGAAAAAAGAGCGTTACAAATTCAAAAACTTCGGATGTCGGAGCGTCGTTATCGTTTAAATATTTCCGATCGAAGAAAATTATAGACCCGTATCAGTACTGTCGAATACCTACGAGCACTGACACAAAATAGTTCGGACACTATCTCAGGTTTTAAGGTTACAAAATATTTCTTTATTTTATAAGATATTGTTTGGGCATGAATTATTATCAAGTAATATGATTTTAAACTATAAAACTAAAGTAATATTGATAACAGCAATATTTGGCTGACACTTAAATGTTCGGACAAATCATTTCAATAGCTAATGATAATAATAACACCATCCATTCTGGCTTGCATACTTTTAACAATGTTTTCGCCTTAAACGAATCCAATATATTTTGCAATTCTACTCGTAAATCAGAAATGTTTCGTTGTGGACCATTTCTTAACTGCTGCTTCGTGCAGTTTCGATAATATTTAAACCAGAACTACTGTAAGGCCAGTCAAGGACGGAAATATTATTATTCCGTGGTTTTGGCGGTATGACATGACGCCATCTTGCTGTTATGTCTCTTATAGTACCTCGACGACCAGCTTTACAAATGCGAACAAGACTTCTTTGCATTCTTGAATTGATCTTACCTAGCCTGAAACTTAAATTAAACCTGGGTCTCCATACTTTTTTACAATATCTGCCACCGTCGTCATTTATTCGTTTAGCAATATCCCGAAAACTCTTTCCTTGATGAAACAATTTTATGATTAAAACTCTGATTGCACCGTTTGTTGCATTACCACGTGACATTTTTAAGCAAATTGATTCACGGAATTGATTCGTAAATCAAAACATCAAATTGTAAACACTTTTTTGTTTCTATGGTCTGCTATTATGTTCTTTTTAATATCGTGCCCTTACATTTATCAATGTGTCAATATCATATTACATGAAAACAGTTTCGTTAATATGATGTGTAAACAATATATTTCAATGATTTATAAAATAAAAACAATTAATTTTCAACCTTACAAAAAAAAACTTTTAGATAAAATAAGTTAATGTCAACATTTTTTTGTTAATGCTCGTATAGCTAGAATTGTCAAAAATCTAATACAAAATAGGATATTACAATTATAATTTCCGACCAAAATGGATTTATTAAAGGAAAATTGGATACAGACGCAATTTTCGCTGTAATGGATGAAATTAACTGTAATGACAACAAAACAATACCTACTCTTGATATCTTTGTTTACCTGAATAATGGTTTCGATACGACCTTCATAAAGGTATGAGAAGATTGGGATTTGGGGGAACATCACAAATACGATGAAAAAGTTACCTTTCAGGTCGGACGCAGACCAAGAAAATCTCTAACAGTTTCCTGTGTGCCTCAAGGAACAGTACTAGGCCCACTATTATTTAATCTCTATTTAAATGACTTATTCAAAATTAATAGTACTGGAAAGATTATATGTTTGATGACTGGATTATACCAAAGCAAATCGTTGAAAAGAGTTTTATGGTGATCATAAATACAAGATTTAACAGTTAACTTGAAAAAAAATCAAAAAATCATTGCAATTACATTTTATTCAAAATTATTACCTAGCTTGGAACAAATTTTGCGTGAACTATCAAGACCAAAAAACAAAAATCGATAGTTTAAATACATTGATTCACACTTAAGGTTATCAAGAAAATCAGAAATGTTGCCTATGTACCCAAAATACTTGCATGCATTAGTTGACACTGACAGAATATCGCAGCGTGAGGTGTCAACTACGAAACACGTTTGTAATCTACAGGGTGACTTTGAAGTTGAGTCATTAATTTTCAGATAATGATTGTAGAAGGAAAATAAACCAAAATATGTGTGTAAAAATAAAAAAAAAATTTACCTTGTTTTATAAAGTATCCTCCCGACAAGTATTTCAGTGCGGACCTGTATTTGATCGTGAGGTCTTGGAGCACCGGCATGCCGTCTATATGTGAGGTCTTAAGTCAAATGATTCACGAACCCGTTGTACTACATTAACAAAGGCACGATGGGTTGGTTGCACTCGATTGGGAAACCGATCCGCATAAACATGTGCCATTTTTTATTTCGTTTGAGCCACGCAACACACACCACTATCCACTACCGACTGACACTGACTGTATACAACTGAATGAAATAATTCTAAAAATATCGTTCCAAATTCTTTCGCTTTTTTGTTTCCGATGCGATGAACCGATAAGGCGGATTATATCCGTTGTCGCCAAACACGAGCACATAATATTATTATTGAGACAGGGCGGTACTCAAACTTCCAAAGGGCTATAACTTTGTTACTTTAATTTTACCAGAAAAATGGTAAAGGAAAAAAACATTTCTTTTGATCAGATCTACTCACTGTTAAAATAAATGACTCAACTTCGAAGTCACCCTGTAGATCTAGCGCAAAAAACTGTTTTCCATGAACCAAGATTATATCCGTCAAACAATTTATAAAGGGAAAAGGAGATACTTGCCAGTAGTACTTCATTTCTTACATGCCACCAACGTTATATTGAGCAAAATTCACATAAACACAAGCATGACACACGAATAGGCTCAACAAATATCCAAAGGCCACCAACACTAATCAAAAAAATCATTCAAAACTTTAGCAACTAAGTTATACATTATAGTGCCTAACGAAATAAGGAGACTCAAATTTGGAAAGAAATTAAAAGATTGGGTTTGCAGTGTGGAGCGAATGACATAATTACCTAGATAGAAAACTAAAGCCTCATCGTGCAAAATTATGCAAATACTGTTCAGAACTAATTATATTTGTTATACACACATGATTCTTGTGTTGTTAGTAAAATATTATATAATCCACACACAGGCAACGCGGAGTTTCCATATTTATCTGCTCATTTTAAGCACCTTTGTACATTGTATTTTTTATTATATTATTATGTAACAAACATGCTCATATTGCACTAGTCACGATACTAAAATAGCAGAAAATTAATTTATTCGTTGGCCCAAATATTGACAATGACTCGTTGAGGAAAGACGGCTTCAAACAGTTAAATCCACTCTCTTATCGTCCACGAAGGCATGTTTATTTTTTTTTTCGCCAGAAGTCCGCCGGGTCCTTTTCGATCGAACCATTATCCTTTCAATTTTCACCACCCCCCCCCCCCGCTCTTCTACCTTCCCGTCGATAGCGCCATATACAATTTCACGGGCCGTTGACTTTTATTCCTCGCCGACTTCGTTTTCGCAACTTTGTACTTGAATGGGTCGGACAGCCCCTGTCCTTGCCTTCCTGACGAGACGCTGTCCAAAATCACGATTTATCATGCAGTGCGGTGACCCAGTATATTGATACGACCGACAAGACGTCTTGCGATTTTTCAACTAATTTCTCGGTAAACGGCGGTCCGGTTTGGGGTCGGACAGATCTTCCCGAAGAGGAAATTTCTTATTTTTCGAAAAACTCTTTAGGTAATGATCTAAGTAAAGCGAACAAATGCACTAAGAAAAATTTTTTGGCCATTTTACTACACTTCAGGTACAGTAGAGAGCGCCCTCTAGCGGCTACAGTAAAACTATGCCCGTGGTTCGTTTTGTCGTACCAAAAAACCCTTGTATACAAATTTTCACTGTTGTACCTCAAATATTGTTCGAAATATTTAAAAAAAAACTATTTTAGAAAGTAAATTTGAACACCCTGTATTTCGGAAGCCACGCATTTTTCGACCCATGTTTATATAGACTTTATGCATTAATTTTAAAAGCTTTATTGAATCTTAAAGTTATGCAACAATAAACTGAAACACCCTGTATATTAAAATGCTTTAAAAAATGACAAAAACGGGCAGTTGAGGTTATGATTCTGCTTTCTAGAACCAAGAAGCAAAAACAAAACTGAAACAAAGCCAAAACCCCACACTTTGTTCGGGCTTTGTTTTTATCTTCGGTCCGTTTCCATTTATTGTCGCGAGAAAGTCAAAACACAGTTTTTCTTCAGCAATCAACATGTTTAGAAAAGAAGCTTTCATTATTCTCAGTTGAGGCTGTTCGATACTTGCTTGAAGTCTTTGGAAAAGAGTAAGCGTCTGTTGTACATCAATGCGTCATTAGTACTGAGTCAATCTACTTGACGAAATATTCCAAGAACCATCATACACGGAGTAACACAAATTAAATGTTCGACGAAGTGGGCGGTACATTTAAGGATCATAAAATTCGGAAAAATATATGCGTAAATATAAAAACAGTTTATTCATCATTTACAAAAGTATCGCAGAACGCTAAAGCGATACGTACTTCTGTGGTTGTGAGTCAGGCACGACACCGCCGCCACCGTTTGTCATTTCCATTCTAGAACGGACTTTAATTTTCTCGTTGTTACCGAGATCAGAAACTTCTTAATAATAGTAAAACGTCTTTGACTAACACTAAGGTCGATTCATTCCACAACCCCCTACCCCAAGTTATAACTCCTACAAAAAAAATCGAAAATGGTCAGGAGCCTATGAAACATCAAAAAACGACGTTTCAGCGTCATTTATTCTTTTTGTGTTTTTTCAAAAATTACAAACATTTTCCGTCCTTGGCATATTAGTTTTTTTTTGGGTACCGCGGAGCTATAAGGGGATACAGGGGAAAGGGGGAACGCCATACGGACTCTGGCGAGGGAACACGTGTGCATGCAACATGCACACATTCTGGCTCCGCCTACGAGATCCGCCGGGTGGTACCTCCGCGTTCGACAGTCAGAAACCGTCTACCACCTACGGACAATCGCAACATCCATAGTCAGCGACTGATCAGGAGACCGTAGAGTCTACTACTGCGGCCACCGCTGCTGCTTGCCTTAGTAACCTTGCGTGAAAATTTCATCAAGATCAGAGCGGTATTTCTCAGATTACACGCGGAAATGAGTGAGATGTCATATAACATACAAAGAACATAATATCTCAATTTCTCGTGATAACAATACTTCCTAGCGCGTTTCGGCATATGATGTTAAAATGAAACGTGTACCCTAAAACACAGAGACGCGTTTATCGCGAGAGATAACATTTACCTTTAGCATTGTTCGTAAGCAGGCCGCGAATTCGATTCCATATATCTTCCTAATCTGATATAAACCGACACAGCTAAACACTGCTATTAGCGAATTTAATAGCATCATCAATTCTGTGTCTGTCACTTGGCGCTATCAAGCTGGGACTTCTACTGTTTGCCCTTGAACCTGAGCAAAGGTCTCTGTATATTTAGGATATGAATACGTTTCTGATCCGACATTTGATCTACGACGGAATTTTTTCACGCAATTTAACTTTGACGATGAACGTTTGTCCGGTCTATTTGTTTTTATCGTCCTTCATGGGATGGAAATGGATATTATTGATGCTAGTTTTAAGGGAATTTATGGAGAGGAAATTTTGGACAAGCTTTTCTCAGTAACTACTTCACTCTCGCAGTGTTCGAATCCGGTGATAGATGGCACATTGGAGAGGACTTAATGTTTTGATTGATTTGAAGAAATTCATTAACCCATAAATTAATAAATGATTACTAATATGATGTAAAGGAAGATGAGGAATGGTTGGAATGTATTTTATATTATATTTTCTAAATACTGACAAATCCGCACATTTCAACAGGTATGTAGCTATAATGATATAACATGTAAACACTCGTTATACAGGGTGACTTCGAAGTTGAGTCATTTATTTTAACAGTGAGTAGATCTGGTCAAAAGAAATGTTTTTTTCCTTTACCATTTTTCTGGTAAAATTAAAGTAACAAAGTTATAGCCCTTTGGAAGTTTGAGTACCGCCCTGTCTCAATAATAATATTATGTGCTCGTGTTTGACAACAACGGATATAATCCGCCTTATCGGTTCATCGCATCGGAAACAAAAAAGCGAAAGAATTTGGAACGATGTTTTTACAATTATTTTATTCAGTTGTATACAGTCAGTGTCAGTCGGTAACGCGTGAGTGAATAGTGGTGTCTGTTGCGTGGCTCAAACGAAATCAAAAATGGCACATGTTTATGCGGATCGGCTTCCCAATCGAGTGCAACCAACCCCTCGTGCCTTTGTTAATGTAGTACAACGGGCTCGTGAATCAGGTGACTTAAGACCTCACAGGGGACGGCATGCCGGTGCTCCAAGACCTCACGATCAAATACAGGTCCGCACTGAAATACTTGTCGGGAGGATACTTTATAAAACAAGGTAAATTTTTTTTTTACTTTTTTTTTTATTTTTACACACATATTTTGGTTTATCTTCCTTCTACAATCATTATCTGAAAATTAATGACTCAACTTCAAAGTCACCCTGTATAGTACTAAAAAAATTCGAGATCGCCATGCGTTAACAAACGTCCAAACATATAGAGAATCGACCTATTATTTGTCTATCCCATTGGTTGAGAGATAGATTCGCCATTAGTTGTAAATTGATAAGAAATAGCAAAATAAATGAAAGCTGTAATTTTTTTCCCTGTACTGTAACTTCTACTGTTTGCGCTTGAGTCTGAGCAAATGTCTCTGTATATTAACTTTTGTTTGTCCAGCCTATTTGTACATATTTTTCTGAGCTACTACTTCACTCTCGCGATGGTTGATTCTGGTAATAGATGGCACTTTGTGCTGCCGTATGTCGATGAACTTTGTATCACACGAAATTATAAATAAAGCTTCGCCAATATGATATTTCGAGGCGGGGCTATAGAGAAACACGTAGACAAAACAACCAAGACAGGGTATAGTAAATTTTTTTATTTTAATATATTTATATGCTCCCAATCCTGGAAATCCTATGCACGTGTCAACATTTCGCCATGCAAAATTTCCATTTAATAATTAAAATAATAAAGCAGTTATTGTCCAACAGTTAGGGAGCAATAATAGTGAAATGATTTAATTTAGACAGTCTGTGTGCCAAAAAGTGGAAAATATACATAAAAGAAAAAGGTACTTTAGAGAGAAGAAACGATGAATATGATTGATACATAATAGCAAAAAAAATATATATGTTCACAAATAAATATATAACAAAGGAAAACGTCTATACCCCATTCCTAGTCCATTTACGCTCAGACAAAACACAACATGCCCAAAAGCGAGATTCTACAGGTCCGTATTTTCCTCAAGAGTCTTGAAATAATCTAACAAAACAAATTATTTTTTTTTATAGAATATACTTTTCACGATTCTTTATTCGCTGAATCATCGTCCGAATGGTTAATATTAATTATTACAATTTGAATATCGATCATATTTACCCTTTTATTTTGTGCCTTACGTTTAGTTGTGTTAGTTTGGGTGCTACCCCGTCCATTTTCTAATGGGATTTTAAATCCCACATCTTTGTTCCGATTGTCTCTTGAACGTGACGGATGCAATCTTTCCAATGGTTTGCCGCCACTCTGTTGACAGCATCATAAAACAAATGGTTCACGTCAAAATTGAATGTTCTATCGTTTGAAGCCACATAGTTTTTCGCAGTGATAAGGGGTTAGCCTAAAAACGGTCCTATTTTGGTTTTTAGCCATTTCATTGTTACTAATGTCTTTTGATAGGAGCCATTGCTGTATTTCTGCCTTTCTTGTGGACATTGTGGGATTTTTTTAGTCACGTTTTATGGGAGGAGACATCAATGAAGAGGAAGCATGACTGAAGGAAACATTGGGAGAAATATTCTCAGTTTCATCTGCTGTATCCGTAGACGACATGCTAACGTATAAGCATACGCTATGTATGCACCGAATATCAATTGTGTAGCATTTTTCTGAGTTCGTTTGGGTGTGGATTAAAATACTGGATTCCACAAAAAGAAATGCATTAATTTATGTAACTTGATAGAACATTTATGTACAATATTATTTATGTCTGACTAATTCTTTTGTCTCCATTGACTGCACTATACTCCACTCCGCTCTGCTACTCTACCGTATTCAGTACTCTGGTTCCATCACCCGGCCGCCGAGTTATACATAGTCTCCATTGCTGCTTTGCTGCTTCGAGAAAGGTCTGGTGAACCACAAAGCGGCATCTAGAATATTGGAGGTCACTTCGCGTCGATCTAGAAGGTGAGTCACAGGCGCCGCCAAGCGGCTGGTGCAGTCGCGGTTCGCGTTAAAGCAGAGATTGGCCATGAAGCTCTGGCGAGTAAGATATTCGCCCAACAGATGGCGCCAACATTTGTCACAATAGCAACTGCCGGAGTCGGCGTGCTGGCAATACCCCGAGGCATGATCGTTGATGTATAAGGCAAACAATAATGGACCCAAATTGGAACCTTGAGGTACACCACTACTTGAGAAGCATGTGTAAGAACTGAATCCATTATTAAAACAAATTTCAGGTCTAGATAAGACTTGAGAAGATCCACGGAAGTTTTTGGAGGTCTAAACCGTGTATTTCGTGTTCCTGGGTATTTATGCGAAACAACTAGCGATGTTGATGTTCAATTCTGCCTGTTTTTCGGCTTGCAAACTATACTGTAGTGTAAAATAATAATGGAAATTACCTTCCTCGGCCAGAAACGCTATCGCCTGGTCCATTCCACCGCCTTGAGTTCCAATATAGCGTTCACACGTCGCGCAAACTTCCGCCAACTTTTCTTTTGTGAATTTGCGCTGTAACGAAAACACTCCATGAGCAAAACTTTGTGCCTTGACGTATGGTCGTGGAGGAGTGGAAAATGATATTATTGATTCAAAAAAAAAACAATTTCAATATTCACCACAATCTGAGTCAATTTTAGTGCATTAGTGTCATTACATCGTGGCGCGTCGCCGACGAATCAGGATCGGACCTTCCGCAGGCAAAGGATGTCGCGTGTTGCTATGTAGTTGGAGTTGCTGTAGTCACAGACGTAAATATCATCCCAAATGTGTGATATGGATAATTCTAAGGGGGTCACAAATTTTTGAATAAAATGTCTTTCACTGGAACATTTCAAGTCTTACAATTTTTTTTCGAAAATGATTTTTTATAACTTTATGTAGGTTTTTTCGACATTATGTATTCTTCCCTATAAAATGTCACCTTTAAACTAGCTGACTTGCTAACTTGTAGTAGGCACTTGTATCTGCTACGTAGTGTACAAGTTGACATTTTACCAATTCTTTAACATATTCTAATTTTACACGTAACAACCTTGTCGTAGCGTTTGAAACATCAAAAAGTTCAAGCGGATTAATGTGACATTATACGAATTGTAAACAAAGAAACATCCGTATGTTTACTAACGTAGGCTTCTGTAGATATTTGTAAGAAACTACTAATCAACATAAAAAACTATCGGTTTCTCGTTTAGTTGAAAAAAAATCATGGTCGTTGGATTCGGAAAAGCAGAAAGCACAAATTTGCCGAAAATTGACACAAGGTTGGTTATTTTTTTGCTTCCAACCGAGACTTCTGCTCTAATGAGAATTTAAGCAAAGAGGACTCTTTATACTTTTTTAATTCTCTCTAGCTTTCAATGGACTTTGCCATCATCATCAGGAGCTGCAATTACAATGATAATAGTAGCAACAAAAGTGTAAAATAAATTTAAATTGAATCAACTTACAGTAGTATGTGAGGATGTTGCTAATTGTTGTTTTCGTATAGGATGAGGGAAACGTCCAGTAACATGGTGAGAGCTGGATAGATGGTACAATGGTTAAAATTATATAAAATATGACAAGACAAGTTAAAGACAGATTAAAAATTATTTAGAAAACATTAGAGCAAACGCCCACAATTCGTTCCATCTTTCAACACAGACATTGACAACCTTCGGCCTTGTGTCAAAGGTTCATCTCACTCATTATTCCATGACCACCATTTTGTGCAATCATCAAGTGGCTTCACGACGTAATGCTCTAATGTTTTCTAAATAATTTTTAATCTGTCTTTAACTTGTCTTGTCATATTTTATATAATTTTAACCATTGTACCATGTATCCAGCTCTCACCATGTTACTGGACGTTTCCCTCATCCTATACGAAAACAACAATTAGCAACATCCTCACATACTACTGTAAGTTGATTCAATTTAAATTCATTTTACACTTTTGTTGCTACTGTTATCATTGTAATTGCAGCTCCTGATGATGATGGCAAAGTCCATTGAAAGCTAGAGAGAATTAAAAAAAGTATAAAGAGTCCTCTTTGCTTAAATTTTGTCGAAGTACCCAACAAAAGGCGGAAGCTTTAATTTTTCACCTATATATATATATATATATATATATATATATATACATATATATATATATATATATGATGCATAGTTATTGTCGTCGAAAATAAATAGTCAAGTGATAGAACTATTTTTTTTTTGGGGGGGAAATCGATATATTATACACTTACAGCTAAAGCTTTCTACAGCCTATGCTGTCATCGTCACGAGCCCAAAACAAATTAAAAAAAATAATAATAAATAGCAACCATACTCATTAATTGAAACTTTATTACTTACTGCATTATCTATATAACTAGTAGAAGTTATGCTTATTTGTTTGAAAATTTGAGAGGTTATACTGATGTCAGCTGCTGTTTACAAATTTAATGACGTCACGAGCACGATAATACGGGCTAAACACGGCGGACAGCGTTTTCGCCCGGGGTAAGAAAAATATATTTTTAAATAAAGTCTTGCGGTCTTTAAGGCCTGAAAAAAATATAACATTGATTTTTCTGGTCTAGCAGGACAAACATTAGCGGAATAAGACGTACTTAAAAAAGTGTTATCTTACCGAACAGGGGTTTACTGGAACCAAACGCCATGTGCACAAGAAATTATAAATGACACTTCGTCAATATGATATTTCAAGGCAGCGTTGAACGCCGTAATTCGACTTGTCAGAAACGTGACAAGAACGGGGCACGGTGCGGGTGGTTTTTCGTTTCTTTTTATTTCAGCTTCCGCGCAAAACCGGAAGCATCGAAAGCTGATAATAAACCTCAACGCTAATGCACCGCGTATGTTACTCTTCACGCAACACACAAAAAAGATGAAAGATTTAATGGGGTTGAAAGCCCGATAACTTGGTAGCTGCATGCACTGTACAGAACTGATCCATTGTAAAGCAATATATCACTAGTAATTTTTTAGCATCACATCGGTCCGCTATTTCAGCTAACCACTTTTTTTTTGTTAAAACCGATTTCTAACTGTTGAAACAGTACACAGGATTTTGGACGGACTTGGAGTTTCTGACATGCGCGATTCGCACAAAATGTTGTATTGTTACGGGTGTCTTATGATTTGGGGTTATGGTTTTTAAATTGCGTTGGGGAGTTACGCCTTTCTTAGTTTTGTTGAAACTTTGAATATTAAAAAAAAAATGCGCTTTATATCAATGAATGGAAGTTTTCGTAAAAATAACATGCGATACCCAAATTAGTACACTTGTGCTTGGGTTTAAACTGAATTTATGAATTACATAAATACAACAAATTTACTGTAGCTACTGCTAACATATTGATTTTTGATGTCTACAAATTTACGGATTTTTGTGATTGGTTGGTTTAAGGTCGATAACATCAATTCAATTGTGAAACGTTTTTACATTTTATATAATTTGATATTCGCAGGAATAATATACAATTTTGAGCTCATAAAGCAGAATGATCTTTGGCTGATATTTTTATTTAGTCTGGGGAGATGCATCTTTGAATCACGTTTGATGATTGTGGCAAATATTTTAATAATCCTCATAATTTTGCACAAATTGTGGTACAAATGAATTTACAGGATGGTTTTAGCACTAGATCTGCATGAATTCATCATACTTTATTCTAAACAATTGAAGGGATAAAGGTAACAGAATCCTTGTATGGAGAAAATTTTAGGTTATTGAAATTTTACAAGCAATTAAAAAAAATATCCACGTGTGTCTTCTCAATTATGTGGTCAATGATGAAATTCCACATGCCTTGTTTTCAGAAATCCATTTTATTCATTCTTTTTGTGTAAAAATTTCAACAAATTCCGAGCGATAAAATAATCTCATTTTCAAAAATGTTCGCGATTAGAATATGTTCCCTCTAGTATGCAAGGTAGACTAATGTTTAAACTCTTTATTAGACGAACGCTTCTACTTTTGAAACATATTTGGGTCTCCGCTCGTACTTACTTTATTAGCACGCGCTGTTGCCAGTGCTGCCGCGCTAACCAGAGCGCTGCTACTCGACAGTCCAGCGCTATGAGGAATGTTGCCGCTCACAACCACTTTCATTCCGACTGGACTATTATCCGATGTAGGTTCTTCTTTGCACTCGAGAACGCCTTTCACTCCGCAAAGGAAGTACTGGTACCATTCAGGCTTTCCTTCGCCGATGCAAATCCTGAAATGTAACCACAGAAAAAAATCGCCATGTAATTTGATGTAATAGACTGTATTTCCGGACCCATGATTATAATTTTTAACAGAGAATCTCCGTCTATTTTTCGAACATCCTATATAAATGTGTCTGCCTATTTTGAGTCACGATGATTCGCCTATTCCCTATACAGGGTGTGCGCAAAGTTGGGGTTTTCCTTTTCAAAAACAACTACCCTTGAAATAACAAAGGTAATCTGTAGTGAAACGAGGGCGACCAAGTAAAAAAAAATAAAGGAAAAAGTACTCACTCTCCAGTTGACGAGAAGGGCTAAGTACGTCTCTGCTCGAAATCATACCGCTCCAACAGAAATCAGCTGATGCGCTACCGAGCAGACGCACCATGCCAGCCCAAACATTCTCCGAAAATGTTTGTTGAAAATGTGCCCGACGGACAGCGTGCGGATTTTCTACTGATCAAACATGAGTGTTGCGAAAGTTATTCACCCCATTACGCGTGAACGTAGATTCGTCCATCACCAATATGCACTTCAAAAAGTCCGAATTATTGTCATGTTGATGCAAAAACCATTCACAAAACCGCACTCTTGCTGGAAAATCGTCAGGTTGAAGGGCTTGTACACGTTGGACGTGAAACGGATACAGCCCCTCTTCACGCAGCGTTTGCCACACTTTAGTTTTTGATACTTGCACTTCTCTAGCCACGTCTCTAGTGCTTGTTGAGGGATTCTCGTCTACGCGATTACGTCTACACGCGTGACCGTAACCGTCGGTTGAAGGTTGCATACTGACCTGACACACTGACCCCGACCCAGTTCTGTCGTCGGGTTGAGCCAGTGACCTTGTACCAGTCGGTGATGTCGCGGCTACAGGACGGTATTCAGATATTTTTGATGTTGCAGAGTCCTTTATCTCGGTTCCCTTAAGACATTGGTGTATAAGGTACTAAGAAAAATTGCTTATGTTTTCAAGATCTACACGTCGCGTCGTGTAAAGGAAAACCCCAACTTTGCGGACACCCTGTATAAGTCCGCGAAGCAGATTCCGATAATAAAGGCGGAATAGGATGTCAGTTCAAATATTAGCTTAAGATATAAATTTCAATTTACGATAAGACCATTCCGTGCCCAAAAACGTTATTTATAACTCGATTTAGACGAAAGCTCGGCTACACCCTTTTCCACTTAAATCTTTCATCGACTTTTCCGGGTAGTTCAGAATAAGACCCCGCTGAAATAATGACATAATAAAGTTTATAAACAAGGAAAACTTCGCAGATGACAAATCATTGTTTTTAAAAAATCTTCTCACGCTCAAATACGTTTTTTACTCCGTACGTCACTGGGCAAGGAAGTATTGTAATCGCAAAAAAATCAAAAACGTTCTATGATATACCGGGTGGCCCAATAAATTACGGCTAAATCTCAGCTACGGCTCAGCCTAGAGCCATCCGTTGAAAAATTACAACAAAAATGGTCAAGGGGAACTGCAGAAAATTATTTTCAGCTTCCTAAAATGACCGCTAGAGGGCGTATTTCGAGTTTCAAAAATTCAAACAGCATTATTTTCCAAAACTCCGTAATTAACGTACTGATTTATTGTATAATTTTAGAACTCTCTTCTAAATGTCATTTTTCCATATTTTGTTTCGTTTATGGTGGGCGGATTGAATGTCATTTCAGAAAAAGTAATGTAACTTCTTTTTGGATACACCGATTTTCACAATCTTGGTTTCATTAGAAACAGCCTGCACGTAAAGGCTCAGTCTTGTGAAATTAGTTCACTTTGTGGTCACTAGATAGCGTTGTATGGAAGTGTCACTATATTTTTGAATTCATACGAAAATTTACAATACAACATACTTTTTTAATGTTGTTCGGAAAGAGCATAAAAAATCCTATAAACTGGCGAAAACCGCAGATCGATAACTTTATTCGGTATGGAGATATAATGGAAAATATGCTTAAATTACAATTTTCAAGCTCAAAAATACTAGTGAAACGTCTTAGTATAAATTGTACTTACTCGAAGTTTTCAAGATTACATTCAAAGTCCTTGAATTTGGGATCGGTGTTATGTAGCACCAAGGTGTTGTCATTGGTGGTCAATACAGCCAGTAAAATGTGCTGATCTAGTGCCATTGGGCATACGGGATAGCCGCAATAGTCTATGTGTTCACCTATTAGGTTTACCCTAGAAAGAAAAATAGTGATTATGCAAAGAATATCGCTCAATTTCGCCTGGTTATCTATAGTGAACAATTAACTAACAGTGCTTTAAGAAGAAGTGAAGTCCAAAATAATTTTTGAGGTCTTGAAAAGGCTTTAACTTTAATTTAGACACTTGGAATCTTCAACAATAATTGTGAGCGGTTTTTAAGCGTGAGGGTTTAGCCATTTTTAGGTTTTTCGGACATTAAATCGCGTATAAGTCGAAAACGGTCAAGCTATGAAAAAGAGAATAAATGCTTAGTTACAAAGGCCGAACGAAATAAAAATTAGCTAACTTTTTTAAAAAAATAACTACTTGCAGTTCATGAAATAATTAAAACAATACTAAAATGAATATTAACTGCAAATTTCCATTTTAAAACATTTCAACTTTATCGGCTTCTAGTCCATTTCTGCTGACAAGTTGGACGACAAATTCCAAATATTTAAGCAACTTTGCTCTAAAACCTCTTACTTCATATTAAGGAGCATCCAGTGATTATGAAAAAAAATAAGGAACCTAAAATGTTTCCCCCGATTGTGAATTTGAAACTGATAAACGCGTAAACATTTTATGTAGTACAATTTCCCCGCGCAAACATTTTCCGGAAATATTTTGTCGTTATGCGCTGTTTAATCATAATAGCCAATAAAACTATTAAAAGGTGTTTATCAGATCTAAGTTATTAATTTATTTACAAACGTGCTAATATTATTAGAGCAATTATTGTACCTACTGTTAACGTTATTGTGATAAGGATAAATCGACATCGATTATCAGGCAAATGAATTTGTGAATGGCACCTCAACAATAGCAATAGCATGGAACACATTGTTACTATCTAAAAATCCTAATTTTAGCGGACAATAAAACCGCGTTCTTAATTATTATGAACGCGTCTTTGTTAATGAAAATTAAAAATCAAAGGTTGCCATTAATATTATTAAGAACAAATCTTACCTTCCTGGGACTCTCACATAAAACTCTGCTGATGCATTTCCGAACGCATTTTTAAAAGCTTCTTGAATTTCCCGGGTTTGATCACTATCCGGCAATTGTTTGACAGGAACAAATGAACACTCTGGTGCCATTATTTAAAAGTTGATCACATAAATTCCGAATATTTTATAAAAACCTCTAAGCACAGGAAAATTTTATCTGTAATGAAGGCGTCTCATACGTGAGATGCGAGTACGTGGCCGGAAGCTTCGAATCGTAAACCTGATTCAAACAAAAATTATTAACAAATCCATTGAGGTTATGTTGTGATTTTTCGCGTCATCTGCCAGTTTAACGTCTAAGCACAGGCTACTTTGATACTTATCGAGAAAGCTCTGTGGATTCGATGTGCTTAAATTTCCGACAAACAGATGACGCAAGATATATTTGAATTATGTAACTTTTGAAATTTATCCTGTGCCTTTCATTATTATCACAGTAATTGAAACGTCGTACTTTGTACAACAAACATATATTATACTGTAGTTTCAAATGCGTTCTATATTCGAAGTATGTGTTACCATCTGCTGGCAAAGGCTTTAATCACAGTGCACGTACTGTAGCGTTCTAGATGGGTATCGCTATACGATGTATAGTTTTAGTAACAGATGGCGCCACATATTTTTTCTTTATAGGTATCGCCATCTTGGGGTGAGAATCCTAAACATAAAATGTATCGATTTAAATTTCTAGGCAGCCTAATGGGTCGCCATCTACTGGTCTGAAGACTAAGTTCAAAATAGATGGATTAAGAGCTGCTTTCACTTCAGCTTACAGATCCGGCAAATAGATGGCACCACATGCATCAAAATTAGCTTTCTAATGTTATCTGCTTTTATGTTCTAATAAAAATAGTCTGACAGTAATGAGAAATGAAAAATGGTCCCTGAACATCTGAAAACCTTATGCTTGGAATTTTACATTCAAGCTTCAGAAAGCGGAAATGAATATAGCAAAATGATATAATGCAATTTTATTTCCCACGCCTGGCCTGGTCTGGTCTGATCTGCTCGGGTATCATGTAAAAAACCTGTAAAACGTCAAAGATGTCAACTTGCAGACTAGATAGTTTTTAGGGCGCCAACAGTCATTCCACGTTTGCTCACTAGGATCGTTGTGAACATCCATCTATGGAGGAATCACTCAACTGAACTGTGCATTATTGGTTGCATAGTTTTGTGAGGCTGAGTGATCCGGGTCTGTAGTTTTTATCTCTGAGAAGAAAGTTGGTTGAATAGCAATATCGGATCATTACTGAATATGCCGAATATGACGGGTTATTTATATGTTGTGCTTTCTGAAGAGAGGTTATGCTCAAAGTTATATAAAGTACGAAAAACTGAGGAGAATTACGGGAAATCGTCACCGCGCCCACGTTGTGTGTAATTACTGTTAGCATGTATATAGCAATTCGACAGTGTATAGTGATTATAATTATTTCTCATCTCTCTAATTTTTTAGATTCAGCCAATTTGTATATGTAATTTCCAGTATGGATAAGAAAAAGTGGATGCGCAACTAATTTCTAGCTTTCAATCTCAATTAAGTGTATTTGAGACAAGAACCCAATGTAATTATCATCAACACATACAATTCACTACTTAGACGTCCAGTAATGCCATCTCAGAAGCAGATTTTACATCACATCAGAGCCAAAGATTGATAACAAGCCGCATGACGTTTAGGCAACACGTACAACATCTTGTAGAATAACCTAAATAATGTCAAAAAAAACAGCATAATGTCAAAAAAAATCGGCATAATGTCACTTTTCAAGGTACGTGATACCCGTGCCGGTCTGGGTACATCGCTCTTCAAATGTTATTAAGCATTAGATTTTGCAATTTTCTGTCAATACTTGCTCGAAAAGTAGCAATCTTACATTACCCTATTTCATTTATTTCAGGCTCAATTCAAAAATATTTAGGCCTTTATGGAAGCATTTTTTTTAAAGTTGGTTCCAACTCTGTTTCTTTTTCGCTGTGACTACTCTCGTTAAGATATAATTATTATGGGTATACTGTCATGCTGCATAAAGGAAAATTGATATCTTCAATAATAACCGAGAAAATCTTGACAAACCGTCAAAAAATGGGACGGGGGAGAAGCAGGAATATGTTATCCGGTTATCGCAGTGGCCAGTAGTTCTATCCATATATCTGGCAATAGAAAATGCTGCACTGACCGGCCAAGTATTTTTGACAAACGTGGTAGTTCTGGCAACGTTGCGCTATAACCTTGAATAGTAATATACATACATAGGCAGCACGACATTCATATAATATACCCTTTGCTCGATGTAAGCTGGGTAGTAGATCTCCCTCTATCTTAGCACCAAAGATATTCAATAAGCTGCCTCAGTATATTAAGACAATTAACTCCTTAAATAATTTTAAAGCTGAGTTAATTTATTTTATTAATACGACTTGTTACGCCATCAGTGACTTTGGTGGATATTTAGATGTTCCTTTTTTTGTATTGTTTGTTATCCACTTATTGTTTGTCCTTTTATATATTTTTATATAGTATTTCTGCTAATTTATTAATTTTAACTGCTGGAAAGCTAATCTATTTTACCTGCTGTTGTTAGCCTATCGTGTCCATTTTAAAATATCTAATTTAAGCTATTGTTTGTTGTTGCTTGTCATTTTACTGTTTGTTTTTTTATGTATATACATACTGTAAATTGTTTGTTGCCGAACCCTATACATGTTTTATACATGTCTAATGGATAATAAATATTATTATTATATGGCACCGTGAAGGATAGGCTTAAGCCTATATCCGTATAATAAACAAATAGATATCGAGACAACAAAGTTTATGAAGTATTTTACACCTATGTGTGAGCGTCAATCTATATCTTTTCCAGCTTTCTTTCCAGTCGTCTGTCCCCAGAGTAATACAAAAAGGAGTTTTCTGGTCGACCATGGCAAATCCACGGTCTGGTTTTATCAGTGTTCTGGGGGGTTAGAAGTGCTGTATTCGCAGAAAACGCTCCATTTTTACGCCCGGTTCAATCCCGGAGCGGTGCGGGCGGTTTCGCTCCGGTGCTCGCAATTATTTCCAGGAATGGATCGGGATTTCCACGTCGGGAAACGTTAGACACGAAATGCTGGCTTTCCCCAGGATTTTTTTGCTGGGGAGGGCGCGGTTTTTTCTGCATGCCTAATAATTTCATTCGCATAGAGTTTTCCCGGTTAAGCTATGATAAGGCTTATAACCCTAGCACCTGACATTTCCATGTCAGTGGTCATGTACATTTTGATAATGACATCCAGGTTCTTTTCGAATCAGTAGTAACCACCATTTTTTTTTCAGGGATGCTCATTAATAAGAAAAAATAAGTAATTAATACTACTTGGTTTTAGGTTTCTTAGTTTAATGCCAATGACCAGAGCCTTGAGATTACCAGGTGAAACCCGAAAATACAGTATGCTGTACAATATATGGAACAACAATATAGCCTAAGTACAGAAAATTGATAAAACGAAACTGCTACAAATATTTGATGACTATATAAGCGTTGTTAAATGAAAAAATAAAAGAACGTACGATACTGAAAGTGTTTCAGCCCGTAACAATCAGTAGTGTTCACATACAAGTCAGTATCATAGTACCACTGGAAATTGTGTACAAAAACTTTACAGACAAATCATAGTATCATTGAAAATTGTCTATTAAAACTTCACGAAGACCATTCATAACATTATTGCAAATTGTGTAGAAAACTTGCACAGAAATTATAGTATAATTTGAATCTGAGTAGAAACACTTCACTTTATATACAAATAATAGCAATAACAAGCGGTCTTTTATTAAAAAACATATTACGGATAAGTCATGCATTACCTATAATGAAATTAGTGAGCAGCTAAATTGCGAAGGTTAATTATAACATTATTCTTACATTACATAAAAATATATATGGTAGAAAAGTACAGTTGTACTACACATGAATTGGAAGAAGGGAAATGTGCATGAAACTGATCATAACGTAAACATGACTAACCAAAAAGTATAATGTTGGAGAAAAACACCTTTTAAAGGCAAGCTTTTGTTCTATAACCTGTTGCACAATATTATAATGGGTGATTTTTTTGCTAGTATCTTTTTGGCAACATTGTTTTTGACAGATGACGCGTGAATCGTGTCTTGTGAAGCATTTATTCGTGAAATACCAGCCGATATGTTGGAGAGAGTGTGCCAAAATTGGACCTTGCGCATGGTCCATCTAAAGCGGAGCCGCGGCCAACATTTACATGAAATAATCTTTAAACATTAAATTATATCGACCATTCTATCGACTCAAATAAAAATTTAATCGTTTTTTCAAATTTTTTGTTTTTTTTTTGAAAATCAAATCCTATACCTCTTAAAAAATCACCCGTTATTGTACAACAGGCACGCATTGCTAAATCATAGCATTAGAGGAAACTTAACGTCTTCATGGGTTTTGACATATTGCCGTTTCATTGATAACACAATTAAATCGTCATTCTTTCCAGTTACTGCGGTCGAACAGTTTGTATTTTTTTTTAAATGTACACGTTTTTCGAAATGTCGAAAGAAGCTGTATCTCTGCGACCGCGGCATCCACGATCTGAGAGTTCACACACAAGGTGTATCGCAAATCGCAGCCGACGTACAAAGGCTCGCCGATCCGTGGGCAGTTTGTTATCGACGGCCGAACTGCTAATAACTTGTTGCTTGCAAATTCGCCGTAGAAATATTTCGCTGACATTGGAAGCTGGCGCGTTTCGCAGCCTTTCTCACAGACCCTTTGCTGCGCGTTTTTCGGATGCATCTCGAGCCGAGCATTCACGCATACTTTTAACACTTCTACGCTGTTTTACAAACGAAGCTGCACCAACAAGACATTTTTTTGTCGAGTAATGGGCGCGATGCAAAATCTGATTCTGAACTAGCTTGAAAAAATGTTGATTCCACCGGACTCTTTACCAAACCACTAGTTGACGAGAAGGGCTAAGTACGTCTCTGCCCGAAATCATACCGCTCCAACAGAAAATGAAATCAGCTGATGCACTACCGCGCAGACGCCGGCGGTGGTGCAGACCACGAACAGAGGTAACAAATATGACAAATTTGGGAGAATAAATGGTCCAATGAGCATACCGTTCACCATCCCAGCCAAAAACATTCACCGAAAATGTTTGTTGAAAATGTGCCCGACGGACAGCGTGCGGATTTTCTACTGACCAAACATGAGTGTTGCGAGAGTTATTCACCCCACTACGCGTGAACGTAGATTCGTCTGTCACCAATATGCACTTCAAAAAGTCCGGATTCTTGTCATGTTGATGCAACAACCACTCACAAAACCGCACTCTTG